CATTTATTGCATTTCTATTTATTATTGTTTGTTGAATTGGTATAAAAAAAAAAAACTTTGTATACTTGATATAGTTTGATGTTTTAATAAACCAGAGAATGAAAGTTTGTGGCATCATAGTGATACATTTAGTTTATTTAATTTATATATATTTAATTTTATGTATATATATATATATTCATTCATTCTTTTTTTTTTTTTTTTTTGGCTTAGTCCGTTTATTAATCAGGGGTCACCACAGCGGAATAACACCCACAACTTATCCAGCCTTTGTTTTATGCAGCAGATGCCCTTCCAGCCACAACCCATCTCTGGGAAACATCCACACACACTCATACACTGCGGACAATTTAGCCTACCCAATTCACCTGTACCGCATGTCTTTGGACTATGGGGGAAACCCACGCCAACACGAGGAGAACATGCAAACTCCACACAGAAACGCCAACTGACCCAGCCAAGGCTTGAAGGAAGGAAGGGCCGAACAAGGAATGGAAGGACCAAATGAAGCTAGGAACAACTGTACTTATGAAGGAAGGACTGAACAAACTAAGGAACGAAGGAGGGAACGAACAAAGAACCTAATGAAGGAACAAAAGAATGAAGGAACGGGCGAACAAATGAATGATGGAAGGAAAGAACAAACCAACAATGGAAGGAAGGAAAGAACGAATATAGGACGATCACTAAATTCACTACAGAATGTAATAAAGACTGGCTGCAGGTTTGCACTTGCACCTCCAGGCTTGCACTCTTGCACTGTTACGCTCAGGCAACCGCACTTCCTCTGCAAGTGACGTCATTTACGTCCGCTTGCTTGAAAGTCCTTCGGTAATTTAACTTAAGGGAAAATCTCTGAGGAAACAGATTTCATTACGATTGTTGCAACAAACTTCTTATGCATCACCTTTACTCAAGTGCCTTTTCTCCTAAGAGTTTCACTGTAGTTTCTGGCAACATACGGCGACGGGTGCCTCAGTTGCTATAGTTACGTAAACAGATCGTAACAAACCACGAATGCTTGCCTTACAACATCATCTGTGACGCTTTCTTTCCGTTAAGAGAGTCGAGATGTCCCCTTATCGAGTCGATCTCAACATCGTGTTTGGAGGACCTACCACACTGGGCTGGGATCATGTCGAGACTGTTGAAGCTGCGCTGCAACTGTGAGTTCATATGGATGCATATGGAGTCTTTCATGTTGTACAACATAAGCAGGTTACTTAGAATTATTTGACAACGTCATCACTGGCAACGCAAACCAACTGAAAATTACTTGTGGTTTATCTGTGTTGATTTGAAGTGATGTGACGGGTGCAGGTGTCGATTATGTAAATGACGTCACTTGCATAGGAAGCGTGGGACACAAAGCCCGAAGATGCAAGTTCAACTCTGCAGCCAGACCCCTCTCACAGATTGTTACACATCCCTGCACAAACTGCATGTAAACGAAACATGTAAACAGCATAATGCTCACTACTCTGGAGTACTTTTATAGGCGCTGCTTTTTATTGAGTAATATTTACAGCAGATACTCTTACTCTACTGCACTACATTTTGGGGCAAGTAATGCTACTTTTCCTTGAGTCTGAACTTTCAGTCCTCTTTCAACCTCCACTTATTATGTTGGCTTGAGAAAGGACTCTGTCCTTGAAAACAAACGTATCTCCTCCTAGGCCGTTCATGCCACAAGGCCCAAATGAGGTCAAAATGTGCCTTCTACATTCAAGATTGTTGCTATATCTTCTCATGCCTATAAGACTTATTGTTTTTTAATAAAAAATGTTAAATATTAAATTTTTATAATCCGGGCATATAAAAAAATTATACAAGCCATAAAATTTGGCCAAAAGCTGTATTTAGATGCATTAGATTTTGTTGCTATATCTTTAAGGTTTATCAGACTTATAGTTTTCCAATAAATCATTTTTAAGCATTATTTTTCTCAAAATATGGCAAGCCATTTATGACGTAAACTCCATATTTTTACTGATATGGCAAGCCATTTTTGACGTAAACTCCATATTTTTACTGATATGGCAAGCCATTTTTGACGTAAACTCCATATTTTTTACAGATATGGCAAGCCATTTTTGACGTAAACTCCATATTTTTTACAGATATGGCAAGCCATTTTTGACGTAAACTCCATATTTTTACTGATATGGCAAGCCATTTTTGACAAACTCCATATTTTTTACTGATATGGCAAGCCATTTTTGACGTAAACTCCATATTTTTACTGATATGGCAAGCCATTTTTGACAAACTCCATATTTTTACTGATATGGCAAGCCATTTTTGACAAACTCCATATTTTTTACTGATATGGCAAGCCATTTTTGACGTAAACTCCATATTTTTACTGATATGGCAAGCCATTTTTGACAAACTCCATATTTTTACTGATATGGCAAGCCATTTTGAACGTAAACTCCATATTTTTACTGATATGGCAAGCCATTTTTGGCGTAAACTCCATATTTTTACTGATATGGCAAGCCATTTTTGGCGTAAACTCCATATTTTTACTGATATGGCAAGCCATTTTTTACGTAAACTCCATATTTTTTACTGATATGGCAAGCCATTTTTGACGTAAACTCCATATTTTTACTGATATGGCAAGCCATTTATGACAAACTCCATATTTTTACTGATATGGCAAGCCATTTTTGCCAAAAACTCCATATTTTTACTGATATGGCAAGCCATTTTTGCCGTAAACTCCATGTTTTTTACTGATATGGCAAGCCATTTTTGACAAACTCCATATTTTTACTGATATGGCAAGCCATTTTGAACGTAAAAACTCCATGTTTTTTACTGATATGGCAAGCCATTTTTGACGTAAACTCCATATTTTTACTGATATGGCAAGCCATTTTTGACATAAACTCCATATTTTTTACTGATATGGCAAGCCATTTTTGGCGTAAACTCCATATTTTTACAGATATGGCAAGCCATTTTTGGCGTAAACTCCATATTTTTACTGATATGGCAAGCCATTTTTGGCGTAAACTCCATATTTTTACTGATATGGCAAGCCATTTTTGACGTAAACTCCATATTTTTACTGATATGGCAAGCCATTTTTGACATAAACTCCATATTTTTTACTGATATGGCAAGCCATTTTTGCCGTAAACTCCATATTTTTACTGATATGGCAAGCCATTTTTGCCGTAAACTCCATGTTTTTTACTGATATGGCAAGCCATTTTTGACGTAAACTCCATATTTTTACTGATATGGCAAGCCATTTTTGACATAAACTCCATATTTTTTACTGATATGGCAAGCCATTTTTGACGTAAACTCCATATTTTTACAGATATGGCAAGCCATTTTTGGCGTAAACTCCATATTTTTACTGATATGGCAAGCCATTTTTTACGTAAACTCCATATTTTTTTTACTGATATGGCAAGCCATTTTTGACATAAACTCCATATTTTTACTGATATGGCAAGCCATTTATGACAAACTCCATATTTTTACTGATATGGCAAGCCATTTTTGCCGTAAACTCCATATTTTTACTGATATGGCAAGCCATTTTTGCCGTAAACTCCATGTTTTTTACTGATATGGCAAGCCATTTTTGACGTAAACTCCATATTTTTACTGATATGGCAAGCCATTTTTGACATAAACTCCATATTTTTTACTGATATGGCAAGCCATTTTTGACGTAAACTCCATATTTTTACAGATATGGCAAGCCATTTTTGACGTAAACTCCATATTTTTACAGATATGGCAAGCCATTTTTGACATAAACTCCATATTTTTACAGATATGGCAAGCCATTTTTGACGTAAACTCCATATTTTTACAGATATGGCAAGCCATTTTTGGCGTAAACTCCATTTTTTTTACTGATATGGCAAGCATTTTTGACAAACTCCATATTTTTACAGATATGGCAAGCCATTTTTGACGTAAACTCCATATTTTTACTGATATGGCAAGCCATCTTTGACGTAAACTCCATATTTTTTACTGATACGGCAAGCCATTTTTACATAATGTTCATTCTCTTAGTCCCTTTATTAATCAGGGGTCGCCACAACGGAATGAACCGCCAACTTATCCAGCATTTGTTTTACACAGCGAATGCCCTTCCAGCCGCAACCCAACACCAGGACTACATAATGTTCAAGTCCAGTTTTTGACACTTATGAAGACTGTCATAGAAACATCAGGGTTGATTAAGGTCACTCATATTGCCAAGAAGCTTTGATGTATCATCACTAACCTGTCAAATGTCCCCATAGCAATAAAACAGTATAACCTAGCAACCATTTAAAAACAGCAATATCTCTACATCAGGACATCGTAGGGACCTGGGCATTGGCTTGTTTGACTCATGCTAGCAAATGGGACTTCCTGTGTACTATGCATGGTAACAATGATAATGGAAGCCAAGCGCTAATAACGTTTAGCTACATGCTATGAATGATTATTTAAATGCAATAACATATGCTAGAAATGCCTACTAAGTATTAGCATTTGATCAAACATGTACACGAGCATTGCCATTTAGCAACTGCTTAGCAACTACCTAACAATGCCATAATTGTTTTAGCAACTGCCTAGCAACCACTTAGCAACCGTCGCTGTGCTTCCTGCCAACTGCCATTCCCAAAGTTTATCAATGAACTTTAAGTTCTAGTTAACAGTTATTATGGCAGTAGTGGGTTTTAGGATTAGAGATGTAGAATAAGATAATGAAGAATATACACTTAATAAACAGCTAATATCTTCATAATAGGCAGGTGATAAGACACTCGTTAATAGAGAGAATCGTTAATTAAACTGAAGGGTCATGTTGTATTGTGTGTTATGTACTGTTGTTCATGTTTTTAAATTCATTAAATAACATTAATATTTGTTTTAAGTGTGACTAAAATGCATTTCTAAAAATAAAAAACAGTCCATATAGATCAAATATTTTATTGTATAATTAGATATAGCCAAATATAGCATTGTCTTTACAATTATACACATTCAGAGTTTCAATAAAATTAACAGTCAGCAAAAACTTCCCGAGAGGCCGTTTGAGGGAGCGGATTAATATTAAATAAATGAACACGACTGTCTTACATGAAGACGAACCAACACACACCACATTCCTGATGAAGAGCTTATAAAACCTGCTGCTGATTACAGAGGAGGAGGAGGATTAAACCACAGGTAACACATTCACGAGTCCTGTTAGTGTGTGTGTGTGTGTGTGTGTGTGTGTGTGTGTGTGTGTGTGTGTGTGTGTGTGTGTGTGTTTCACCTGTTTGTACTTGTCTGCAAAAGCCTGTTAGTGTGTGTTTGTATCCGGGTGTGTATGTGTGTGAGAGTGTGATGTATATGCGTGTGTGTGTATGTGTGAGAGCGAGTGTGAAAATGTGTGTTTCACCTGTTTACATTCATCTGCATCAGTCTGTGTGTGTTTACATAAGTGCTTGTGTGTGTGTATGCACACATGCATGTGTGCATGAGTGTGTGTTTCTCCTGTTTCCACTCGTCTCCATCAGTCTATTAGTGTGTTTATGTGTGTGTGTGTGTGTATGTGTGTGTGTGTGTGCGTGTGAGTGTGTTGCACCTGTTCTGCATCAATCTGTTAGCGTGTGTGTATGCATATGTGTATTTATGTGTGTGTGTGTTTGTGTGTGTGTGTGTGTGTGTGTGTGTGTCTCAGGGTCCTGATGTCCTGCTCCTAAACAGTCCCGTCCTCCTGAGGTGTCGTACGATGAGCGGCACACACACCAGAGTGATGCTGATGCGCAGCGGCGCGAACAGCTTGTGTACGGCGTACGCCAGAACAAACACACTCGTACCCGCAGCCAGCCGGGACTGAACCACCGCCTCACTGAAGCCCAGCTTACACAGCAGAGACGCCACATCCAGACCACTAAAACACACACACACACACACACACACACACACACACACACACACACACACACACACACACACACACACAATAAGTTACAACAAATAACATGTCATTCTTATCAAATACAGAAAATTTAAAAACTTTTTAAAACATCTTTTATCCGTCTAAAGTTTGGCTGATGATGTGAATAAATGTCAGTGTAATTTTCTGCTGTGTTACTTAGGTTGTTTTGTTTAAAATGTAAGCATACATACTGTGTGTATATAAACTCACCGGCCACTTTATTAGGTACACCTGTCCAACTGCTTGTTAACACTAATGTCTAATCAGCCAATCACAAGGCAGCAGCTCAATGCATTTCGGCATTTAGACATGGTCAAGAAGATCTGCTGCAGTTCAAAGTGAGCATCAGAATGGGGAAGAAAGGGGATTTAAGAGACTTTGACTGTGGCATGGTTGTTGCTGCCAGACGGGCTGCTCTGAGTATTTCAGAAACTGCTGATCTACTGGGATTTCCACGCACAACCATCTCTAGGCTTTACAGAGAATGCTCCGACAAAGAGGAAATATCCAGTGAGCGGCAGTTCTGTGGGTGCAAATGCCTTGTTGATGAGGCCAGAGGTCAGAGGAGAATGGCCAGACTGGTTCCAGCTGATAGAAAGGCAACAGTAACTCAAATAAGCACTCGTTACAACCGAGCTCTGCAGAAGAGCATCTCTGAACACACAACACGTCCAACCTTGAGGCGGATGGGCTACAGCAGCAGAAGAGCACACCGGGTGCTGCTCCTGTCAGCTAAGAACAGGAAACTGAGGCTACAATTCACACAGACTCACCAAAACTGGACAATAGAAGATTGGAGAAACGTTGCTGCTCTGATGAGTCTCCATTTCTGCTGACACATTCAGATGCTCGGCTCAGACAACATGAAAGCATGGATCATCCTGCCTTGTATCAGCGGTTCAGGCTGGTGGTGGTGGTGTAATGGTGTGGGGGAGATTTTCTTTGGGTCCATTAGTACCAATTGAGCATCAACGCCACAGCCTACCTGAGTATTGCTGCTGACCATGTCCATCCCTTTATGAGCACAGTGTCTCCATCTTCTGATGGCTACTTCCAGCAGGATAACGCAGCATGTCATAAAGCTCAATCATCTCAGACTGGTTTCTTGAACATGACGATGAGTTCACTGCACTCAAATGGCCTCCACAGTCACCAGAGCTCAATCCAATAGAGCAGCTTTGGGATGTGGTGGAACGGGAGATTGGCATCATGGATGTGCAGCCGACAAATCTGCAGCAACTGTGTGATGCTATCATGACAATATGGAGCAAAATCTCTGAGGAATATTTCCAGTAGCTTGTTAAATCTCTGCCATGAAGGATTAATGCAGATCTGAAGGCAAAAGGGGTCCAACCCGGTACTAGTGAGGTGTACCTAATAAAGTGGCCTGTAAGTGTGTATATATAGTTTTCAACATGGCATGCGGTATCTGGTTTAGTTCAGTCTTGTTAGTGTCTGTTGTGAAGTTTATCAGTGACAGCAGAGTGTGAATCTAACAACAGCATTGAGTGTGTGTTGTACAACTGAAGCCAGGTGTTGTGAGGAGAGCGTGATCTGACCTGGAGACGGCGAGGTAGAAGATTCCCAGAGAGATGAGGGAGATGCAGATGTGAAAGGAGACGCCGACCGCTCCGTACTGCTGAAACACCTGCCGGAGCTGCTGCACTTTACTGGCCTTCAGCTCCGACCCGTCAGCAGCAGACGACACGCCATCCTGACACACACACACACACACACACACACACACACAGAGCAGACTGTTAACCAGTAGGCACACTTTACCAGCACACACTTAACCGGCAACACACATAGTTAATCAGTTTACCAGCAGCAGTTAACCAGTTACACACTTCACCAGTTAACCACCACACAACTAAACTAGTTTACCAGTAAGACACACTTCACCAGTTAACAAGTAACACAGATAACCAGCAGGCCTCAGAGGGAGGAGCTCAGCAGCCAATCAGAGGCCAGAATCCCTAGAGTGACTCCTGCAGCAGCCAATAAGAGCAGAGTGCTCAGAGATAAACATCAGCTGGAATGTGAGAGCTAATATTAGGAGCGGCGTGAGACAGAAAACACACTTCAGCTGCAAAAGAAGAGTGTGTAAAGTATGAACAACACCAAAACTGCAGACAGACATCAAGTTGTGTGTCTGGCCGTCACATGAGTGTGTCAGCAGTCATTGTGTTAACCTATGAACCACAAAGCTGACCCAATTCAACCTTAACAAAACACAAACAACAGCCTTTTCATTACCATAGAGACCAGAGAGACCAGAGAGACCAGAGAGAGAGAGAGAGAGAGAGAGAGAGAGAGAGAGAGAGAGAGACCAGAGAGAGAGAGAGAGAGAAAGAGAGAGAGAGAGAGAGAGAGAGAGAGAGAGAGACCAGAGAGAGAGAGAGAGAGAGAGAGAGAGAGAGAGAGAGAGAGAGAGAGAGAGAGAGAGAGAGAGAGAGAAAGAGAGAAAGACAGAGAGAGAGAGAGAGGGTGTGTGTGTGTGGCTGCATGCCAACGGTCAAACAGACAATTCTGTGTGTGTGTGTGTGTGTGTGTGTGTGTGTGTGTGTGTGTGTGTGTGTGTGTGTGTAAGATAAGAGTGTTTAAGGGTTCGAGCAGATGAAGAAACACACATTAATTGACTCACATTCATCTGGAGGAAACAAGACGTTACAGAGATAATAACATCAACACAACTACACTGAAATACGTGCTGTACAACACACACACACACACACACACACACACACACAGACCAAATCTGTAGACAGGACAATCAACACATACTGGAGCTGCGTCTTTATTAAGAAGAGATGAGCAGCAAATCCGGTTCTCCCCATTTCCAGATGAGAAAAGCTCTTGAGTAAAAAATGTTCCGTACAAACGTATTCCTGCACTGATCCACACGCGAGTCCAGCTGCGCTCTCATAGAGAGAAAATGAAAACGAAACCTTCACTGCAGCACATTATACACACAACACTGACCACCCATATCTCCAAACAATTCCTATTCTTTTCACACTTCTTTTGGCAACACAACATGTCGTCTCTCTGCCGTCTGAACACTGTTTCAGGTACACTCTTTGAAGCTATCATGCATATTAATGAAGTTGCACTGCATACACAATAGAGCGCGCTGATTGGTTTGAACCAAGCCTTCCTCATGCATTAATGCAGCACACTCCGAGATGTAATAAGGCACTACCAGGTACAGACCTCCAGTCTACATGCTGGAACACACGGTAAGATCTCATGGCCGTGACGCAGCTTCAAAAATTAGTTTCAAACCGGAAGTACGAATTTGCAGGAAATAACGCAAAAACAACCAATTTTCACTGTATAGTGAGATATAGGTGTCCTAATAGTGTTTATAGCAGTGTGGGACACATATACCACGGTCAACAGCTCAACACATGTGCTCTGGTGTTTCGTGACCCTTTAAAAACTGAAAGTCATGATGAGCACACAGCAGAAACTCCAACAGGTCTCTTTATCAGCTGTGAAATGATCAACCTTCAGAAATCAGCACATCAGGGCACACTCGGGCCATTGTTTTGTTCTTGAAACTGAATAAAAACCTTCCACAGACATTCCTCAAGGATTAGGAAGTGAAGAGGAAGTGGTGTGAAGTGACCTTCGACCTTGAAACAAACAACTAAACCAGTGGACACACGACAGACACTCGACTGACCGGTTAACCAAAGCAGCTCATGAACTAGCGTTGTTCTCTCTCTCACACACACACACACACACACACACGTTTTGAATATGTCCTCTTCACTGCAGTTGTGATGTTTATCTTGTCTTTCCTCTTATCTGTGTTTGTCCTCTTCCTCAACTCCACGCTTAAAGGTGCAGTTCACCCAAAAATGAACATCTACTCACTATTTACTCCAATAAACTTGTATATTAACCTTTATCAGATACTTCTGTTTTTGTTTCTACCTAAAAGAAGACAAAAACCTAAAACCATTGAGTTCAACAGTAGGAAAACAAATACACTAGAAGTCAATGGTTACTGCTTTACAGCATTCTTCAAAATATCTTCCTTTGCAGAAAATAAAGTTTAACAGTTTTGCATCAAGCCAAAGTAAATGATGACTGAATTCTTATTTTTGGGTGAACTGAGTCTTTAATTACAACCTACAGTATAACACACACACACACACACACACACACACACACACACACACACACACACACACACACACACACACAGCAGATCTACAGAACTAGAGGAATCAGTCCTGTTCAAACATGAATAATCTGACATCATCATCATCATAACCCAAAACAAGCAGCACAGAAAGCTGCACCATCACTGTAACATGGTAAATAACACCATAACACCGAATCTACACAATGAGCAGAGCAGACTGACAGAAAATTAAGAAAAGAGAGTGCGTGTGTGCAGGCAGAGGAAGTCAAAAGGAGACTACTACACTGTTAGCAAGACATAAGTGTGTGTGTACGTCAGAATGATGATATTAAACACGCGAGAACACACACACACACAGATCTACAGTATAAACACACACACACATAACAACCACCACAAACACTCGTTGAAAGTGAAAACCAACTATGTGAAGTAAACTCTCAACACAACAGAACCCTGTAATATGAGCATGTTAACAAACCCTGAAATAAACACCACTGATGAACAATAACCAGCGACTTATCGACTATTATAAACACACGAGAACACACACACACACACACACACACACACACACACACACACACACACACAATCAACAAACACACACCAATGACTGTAAAAAAGTACACACACACACACACAAGCATAACACACGCTAACTGAAAACAACGCACATGAAGCAAACTACCAACACAATGTCAATAAACAACACTAATAAACAATATAAACCAACATTAAACATGTGAGGACACACACACACACACACACACACACACACACACGTTTAAACTGAAAACAAAGCGCATTTATGGTTACTCTACAGTATGCACATGTCAGTAAACAAACACCCGACTAACAATAACCACCGACTATTATTATTAAACACGTGAGAACACACACACACACACACACACACTCGCTTAAACTGAAAACAAAGCGCATTTTATGTAACTCCTCAGCATGCACATGTCAGAACACAATAATTAAGCAGCCCTCATAACAGCAGCAGCGACTCACCGAGCGAATATCCGCCGCGCGCTCGTGTTTCTCCGGTGTCGTTAACGACCGTCTTGGTTGCATCAGGAATGAAGACCTAACTGATAAAAGCGGCCGAAGTTTCCCGGTGTTTGTGTCGCTGGTGAATCCTCTACACCCGGTCACCGAGAGCACCGCCGTCCGCCATCCGCCAGCGTGATCCTCCAGCAGAATGTGGCGTACGGAGACCGCCGGTGATCTCCGGTAAACACGGCGGCAGCAGCAGCCGGTAAACACGAGCCGCTGCAGGACTGAAGGAGCTCCAGAAACGCGCTGAAACATCGCTCCGACATGAACGGAGAAACGGTGGATATGAGCCTGTGCAGATCCCGCCTCAGCTGATCGGTGACCCGCCGTTAAGATCCGCCCCCTCCGCTGGAGACACTCACTGTGTATTGTAGTACTGATATCGTGTTGAATGTAAGCGCGTTTTGATTTCGGTTGTTAAATGATCTTCAACACCTCCTCAAATGTTTGCAGTTTTAAAATCAATATCTATATTATATGATCAATATCATATCTGCGCCCACAGGAAGCGTGAGACATTCCTCCCTCTTCTGTGGTTGACATTTCACCCACACTTCAGTTCAGGTGGACAAACTGAGTCACTGGAGCACACACGTGTTTATTCAAGAGGACAAGAGTGCTATAAGAGCTGTAACTGCACCGCAGGGCGGCGCCATATATCGAAATTAGCACACATTTGCATATCTTATAAGGCAATGGCAGAGCCAGAGCCCCTGTTATGGGTTTCTGCGAATGATCTCACAGCACAGCTCTGAGTGAATAAAAACATCCAGCTGAGGTTTAAATCTAAAGGTGCAGCCTGTTTAAAACTATTGATTCATTAGTAATATATTTGACTCAAAGTTGAATGAATGGGGGGGGATGGGCTAAATCAGAGGACTCACTCTTGTCCCCGGGGCTCAATTCCAAATTAAACCAAAACAATCCATTACATACATTTGGCTTAAAATTGGCAAGCAAAATTCGGGACATTGCAACCTGCAGAAGCTGGGAACTTAAAAAAAAAAACAAGTCGAAAACGAATAGAGTTGGGTTCGGATCTTTTGTTAGATCACATCAACGTTAATATCGATACATCACCAAATATGTAGCTCCAGTTCTGGTAAAATGAGATCACGCTTTCACTTCAGACATTAGCGGAGGCGTGGGGGATCACAGGACTGATCATGACTGAAGATGTTGATCACTGACAGATGGAGATTCGGCTGAGGGGAATAAAGGGTTAATGTTTATTTTCACAACAACAACACAGTATAGCCAACCGTGTGCTGTGTGTGTTCCTGTGCTCCTATACTGTAAAAAAAAATTAACTTACAGTTTTTTTTCCGGCAGGAAAAAAAAAAAGTAAAATAAGATACGATAAATTACAGACATTTACCGTAAAATAACATGCAGTAAATTACAGACATTTACCGTAAAATAACATGCAGTAAATTACAGACATTTACCGTAAAATAACATGCAGTAAATTAAAGACATTTACCGTAAAATAACATGCAGTAAATTACAGACATTTATAGTAAAATAACATGCGGTAAATTACAGACATTTACTGTAAAATAACATGCGGTAAGTTAAAGACATTTACAGTAAAATAACATGCGGTAAATTAAAGACATTTACCGTAAAATAACATGCGGTAAATTACAGACATTTACCGTAATATAACATGCGGTAAATTAAAGACATTTACAGTAAAATAACATGCATTATATTACAGACATTTATAGTAAAATAACATGCGGTAAATTACAGACATTTATAGTAAAATAACATGCGGTAAATTACAGACATTTATAGTAAAATAACATGCGGTAAATTACAGACATTTACTGTAAAATAACATGCGGTAAGTTAAAGACATTTACAGTAAAATAACATGCGGTAAATTAAAGACATTTACCGTAAAATAACATGCGGTAAATTACAGACATTTACCGTAATATAACATGCGGTAAATTAAAGACATTTACCGTAAAATAACATGCGGTAAATTACAGACATTTACTGTAAAATAACATGCGGTAAGTTAAAGACATTTACAGTAAAATAACATGCGGTAAATTAAAGACATTTACCGTAAAATAACATGCTGTAAATTACAGACATTTACTGTAAAATAACAGAAGGTAAATTACAGACATTTACAGTAAAATAACATGCGGTAAATTAAAGACATTTACCGTAAAATAACATGCGGTAAATTACAGACATTTACCGTAATGAAACATGCGGTAAATTAAAGACATTTACCGTAAAATAACATGAGGTAAATTACAGACATTTACTGTAAAATAACATGCGGTAAGTTAAAGACATTTACAGTAAAATAACATGCGGTAAATTAAAGACATTTACCGTAAAATAACATGCTGTAAATTACAGACATTTACTGTAAAATAACAGAAGGTAAATTACAGACATTTACTGTAAAATAACAGAAGGTAAATTACAGACATTTACCGAAAATTTAAATTAAGGAAATTTCTGTAATTTAAAGTCCGGTATTTTACGGTTAATGTCTGTAATTCAATGGCTGTTATTTGATATATTTTTTTATCCACCCTAGCTGCCGGAAAAAAACGGTAAAATCATGGATTTTTTTAACAGTGTACGCTACAACGTGGGATTCACCGGCCGTTTGCTATTATTAATTGGGGTTGGGGTTAAGAGGAGAGTATATGCTGGTGTTTAACTGCATTGTTTTACTGCACTCCTGCATTGGGCTCTCACATACTCTCTGCTACTTCATACTGTAGCTGTGGTGGGCGTTTCTCTGTCTCGTGCTGAACCTAGTTGACTAATCACAACAGACTGGGTCATCAGTCCAATCAGCGCAGATTAGCTTCGTGCTAAGGGGGGGTTTGGGAACAAATGAATAGCTGAACGAATCATATGGGAGTCGCTGGGATAATCAGGTAAAAAATAAGTGCACATTATAAGACAATAGCCCCTTTCACACAGTGATACCGGTAAATATCCGGAAAATTTACGGAACAACTTTACCGGTATTTACAAAAAACTGCTGTTCACACAGGCGAGGACGTTACGGAATTTTTCCGGAAAAGAGCATTCACACATCCATTCCAAAATACCGGTAAATTCTGACATCATTCACCACAAATGAGCTTTAAACGGCTGCACATGTATTTTTAAACATTTGACAAAGTTACAAACTCTCTGGATGATCAATATTGTGAACAACTTTCGCAGGATCACTTTCACATGTCGAGATGTTCATAATATGTGTGTGTGCAGGCGCTCACAGGCTGTTTCACAGGCACACACAAAGCTTGAAGGTAAACAAACAACGGCTTATCATAAGCAACTCATCGATGATTATTTACACAGTTGGCATTAAGATGAAAATATAAACGTGATCTGACTAACTTCTAGCAGCTAAAAGTGTCTGGAAAAATATTCAAAGGCTTTTATTCTCATAATATACTGTTCTGATTGGCTAAAGTAGACGTCTCACGTCAGCACGTTCTAGACGTGCACACGCTCTTTCCAGCAATCTTCCTTCTGCGTTCACACAGCGCAGCATTCTCTTTCCGGAAAATAGCCAGAACGAATTTACCGGTATTTTCAAAAATTCAAAAATTGCCGGTAATTTTCCGGAAAGGTCTGTATGTGTGAAAGGGGCTATTGTTTTTTGATCTTGCACATTTCAGCCTGTTGTTTGAGACCCCTTAAGCCAGAATATGACCTTTTTTACGAAATAAAAATGATATAACAATGTAAAAATAATGCTTTTACAACTTTTAAAAAACAAAGTTGCATTGCATTATGGGCGACGCAGTGGTGCAGTAGGTAGTGCTGTGACCTCACAGCAAGAAGGCCACTGGGTCGCTGGTTTGAGCCTCGGCTCAGTTGGTGTTTCTGTGTGGAGTTTGCATGTTCTCCCGGCGTTCGCGTGGGTTTCCTCCGGGTGCTCCGGTTTCCCCCACAGTCCAAACACATGTGGTGCAGCTGAACTGGGTAGGCTAAATAGAATAGTGTATGAGTGTGTGTGTGAATTTCCCAGTGATGGGTTGTGGCTGGAAGGGCATCCACTGTGTAAAAACGTGCCGGATAAGTTGACGGTTCATTCCGTTGAGGCGACCCCGGATTAATGAAGGGACTAATCGGACAAGAAAATGAATGAATGAAATGCATTATGGGATCTTGAACTTGTAACCTTGAAAAGTTTCAAAAAGTGGCAGATGAACATTTACTAGTTTAAGGTGATATATCGTCTGGCTTGGTGTTGTACATCAACATTAAAAGTGGACAAAGCAGAGATCAACATCCCATAATGCAATGAACAACCGCAAATAAACTGAAAACACAACGTGAATCACAAAACTGCACTTGAGCTACATTTTTGTGTAAGTAATAATTCTCCTCCCACCGCTGATTATACGTTACTTTAATTACATGACCTAAAATATTAAAAGTATTCTCATTTTCAGCAGAAAACCCATTTAAACAACTGGGGTTTGTAGCTGATTACAACACTGGTGTGTGTGTGTGTGTGTGTGCGTGCGTGTGACAAGAGACTGATGTGTTTGCAGAACTGAAGCATCTGAATCAGCAGTCATTAGCCCTTCATACGTCATATCTACTTAATATTTGATCTTTCACTTTGCAAAACCTTGATGTTTATTCCTGATTCAGAACTGAAGAGATGAAGCTTAAGACTGAGACTGACACCGATTGCATTTATAACTGTTCATCTTGTCTGAAATCAGTGGTTTTACAGCTTGTACTCCTCCTGTCTCGATTCTGACATTCACATCCAGTATTTCTGCATGCTTTTGTGCTGTTTTTTTATGTAATACAACAATTTTTTATTAAATATGGGTTTGGAATTTCTTAAATTACAAAATATATAAAGATTTGGAGCATTAATTATTGAGAAAACACTACACAGGAGAACAAACTGAAATGGATATATTCAGAGCTCAGCATAAATGAATTCACCCCATTTTGAGATGAATATTGTTGTCCATTTCTCAGTGAATATAGATCATATATTTCAGTGCATATGAACAAAGAAGATTTATTAAGCAGATACATTTATTAAAATAATATTTTAGTCACAGATTTTATCATATTTTGTCATCTTTATAGAAATAGAAAGATAATTCTTTCAAATTCATGCAAAATATTGCAAAAAAACTAAAATTTAAACAACTAAAACTAAATTTAGTATTTTTTTTTGTCTCTCTTGATTTTTCCTCTTTTTCAAATTTTAATTTAATATACATTTGGGCTACTCAGACATTTTTGTTAGAGGAGTTGA